ATAACCAGATTGTGACCGGTTTCATCAGTATTGGAACTCTGTACTGGCTGCTGAAGATGAGGATGGAGCATGCATGGAAATGCCCAAGTGATTTGATGTCATTTTTTGACTCAACTCAACTCAACCACTGTAAATTCTGGCAGAAAGTTCTGGTTCAATACGTGTGTCTGGAGTTTGGTTTTGATCAAGGATTTGAATAGTGGGTGCACATCCATTTTACAAATCTGGCTTATTTATGTACAAGCTGTTGGCGCCTCGTCTTTCAGACGGATGTGCTTTGACTTTGAAGTAAATGTCAATTCTATATATGTTGGCCATGCAGACAGATCTTGACCAGTCTAAGCCCTGATTATGGTGCACCCATGTAGGTGGTGATTCACCTCAGCATCCCATATTGTGGTTACATAGTAAACACTGTACATCCACATATACCGTATTTTTCATGTCTAACTAACTTTTACTGTACACAAATGTAGTACTGTAAATTCCAATATAATAAGATTGTGACTACTCATTCTTTTTTCTTTTGTCCTTCTTCTTATGCCATAAAGAATCACAGAAAGGAGTAGCTCTCCGTCTCCATGTGGTACGAATTTTTTTTTATTTTGATGTCTCACACTGGTTGTTGCCAGGGGACCTAATATAACCTAACGGTTGAACAAGGTTTCTGGGACCTCTCCACAGGCAATCCTCATCCGAATGGTGGCCCTTTGTGTCACAGGGTGTTTATCGCTTGGTGGATGTCCTGGTGGGGTTAAATCTCACTTACAGAGAGGAGTGCTAATGTCATATTGCGTTTCTGTAGTGACTCTTCTAAGAAATCATTTATCATTATTATGCACACCACTGTTTTTAGTTCTTCACTGTAACTGCTTCTCCTAGTTTTCTTGCTGCATTTTTTGTACATTTCATTTCACATTTTGCATTGTCTGTCTAGGCTGTCCATGTCTGGCACTGATAGTACAAAGATGGTGTGAATAGCGCATTTATCAGCTTTTTTTTTTTTTTGGTTGTTAACCACATAATTTTCATTTATTTACATTAAAATAAGATTGTGATCATTCCTGCAAATTCCCCGTGTTGGTTCCGGGGCTCTGTTATAGGGAAAACAAGAACAGACCCACTGCCTACCCAAAAGCATGTTCTAAGAGTCGACTAATTGGGAGCTTCCTTCAAAGTCAGAGTGCATCTGCCTGAGAGGCAAGGAACCAGCAGTCTGCATACAAATGAGTCAGATCTGTAAAACAGATGCACACGCAACACTTAGGTTCAGGAACAGGACTGCAGTCCAGAAGTGGATGAACAACCAGAACTTTCTGCCAGAGTTTACAGCTGGTGAATGCGAAGAAGAAGAAGAATTCCTGCAAATGTGCAAAGGAAATGAGGGACACAATGAAACAGTTTTAGACACAAAATTTGTGTTAGTGTGTGTTCTTTGGTGGGGGTGTATCACCACAATGAAGGTTGGCTGCAGTACATCCACTTCTGTCTTTCAGAAAATTATGTGGTGAGGCCCCAATCTCATCCATGTTGGGACTCCATATCATAAGCCGAAGGTAACAAGTTATGGCCTTTTTCCTGTCCTGTCGCAGAAATTCAACCCAAGTACTGAAGTGAGAAATGATTCCACTACCCACTAAGTCATAAAGCCATTAAAGTGTGTACTTATACATTATTACAAAAATAACATAATATTCATTAGTCTTTATCTGTGGCTTAGGTGTTGTGAACTTGCTTCGTAATGCAAGGGTGCCGGGTTCAATTTCTGCTGTGGACGATTTGTCTTGCACTGGGTTCGACAGTGGTACTGAGAGCTGACCGTTCAGAAAACAATGAAAAACTGCTAAACATAAAATTTGTCTAGAAAAACCACAACACCCAATAAATGCTGGCGTTGGTTCTGCAACGTCCTGTAAAGGATACGCAGCTAACTTTAATATTGATTAACAAGCAAGTCACATATTCTGTTGATGTTAACCTACTTTGTACATATTTCTGTATCTCAGGAAGGTCTGGTGATCCTGTTCATCCCAACCACCTTGATGTCCTCCACTTTGTTGCACAAATTTCTGGGGTTCCCAAAAGAAAATGTTTTTATATATACAGTAACATCTTGTTAACATGAATACTTAGAGATTTTGTGTTGAAAAAAATGTATTTATATATACAGTAACATCTTGTTAACATGAATACTTAAAGAGTTTGTGTTAAAAAAAAATGTATTTATATATACAGTAACATCTTGTTAACATGAATACTTAGAGAGTTTGTGTTAAAAAAATGTATTTATATATATACAGTAACATCTTGTTAACATGAATATTTAGAGAGTTTGTGTTTTAAAAAATGTATTTATATATACAGTAACATCTTGTTAACATGAATACTTAGTTTGTCTTTAACAAAAACGTATTTATACATACAGTAACATCTTGTTAACATGGATACTTAGAGAGTTTGTGTTAAAAAAAATGTATGCTACCTAGGGACTAATATTAATAACACATTAATCCCTAGAAAATGTAACATCAACTTGGTTTTATAAAAGCTGTTTGGTTCACAGAAAAACACCTTAAAATACATTACAGTAGAATTTAATTAACAAGAATTCTAAGGGACTGAAAATTGCATTCCTGTTTTAAAAAAATGTGGGCTTACCGGGGAATAACAACAATAATACATCACAGCTGGGACCAAAAATTGTGTACATGTTATCTGAGTGTTCTTCTTAACCCAACAACGCTTTTTTTTTAAATGGGCCTGTGGGAATTCCTGGGAAAAACATTTGTATAAACACCACAGCAGGATTTTACACAGGTCACTAATACATTGTTTTTAAATTTATTTATCAACTTTTAAATTATTTTTTTAAATAAACACATTAAGAGAGTTATCAACGAACATGAACAGGGGTAGCACTAAATAGAATAGCTTTTGTGGGGGCCACCAAAAAAACAGGTACCATGTGACATGAGGAGGTGACGCATCCCATGATCTCTATCAATGTGGCTTATGAGAAAATTTGACATAAACTTGGCTTGATAAAAGCTAGTTAGTTAATAGAAAAACACCATAAATGCATCATAATCTCCTAAACGTTCGTGCAGGTACAAGCTCAACCAACAGCAATCATCATCAGTTTTCGTAATGCCTAGTGGCACATGAGGCTTCAGAGAGGACTTTCCATGCTTTCCTGTCCTGTGCAATCTTCAGTGCAGTTTTCCAAGTCAGAGATGCCGCACTCAGATCACTTTCCATCGTTCGTCTCCATGTTGTTTGTGGGCGCCCCTGTTTTCTCTTTCCCTCTGGTGTCCATGTGAGAGCTGTTTTGGCAGGTAAATCAGAAGTCATTCTCATAACGTGGCCAAGCCAATTCCATCTTCTCTTGGTAATCATACTGTCTAAAGTTTCTTGGTTTGTGGCTTGAAGTAGTTTAGTGTTTGAGATTGTATCTGGCCAGAAAATTTTGATAATTCTACATAGACATGTGTGGTGAAAGGTGGACAGCTTGTGTGCATCCTTTTGGTCATTCTCCAAACCAACAGCATTAACTATGTAAAATCCAGTTTTCTCAATCAACAGTGTAATGTTTCATTGTAAAAATATATCTTACATCAAAGGCTACGACTTCTGGTGGCAAATCTTTGGAGATATCACTGACAATGGTTGGAATTTTTGAAGATGCTGCTTGTGATGCCACATTGTCAGTTCTTGTGGCCTGATTCCAAGCTTCAAACTTACGTTCCAACTGCTGTAATTCTAAATATAATGTCTTCTCTGACCGCATCAAATCATCGTACCTGTTCAAAAGACAAAATATACAAGCTAAAAAAAACAATACATATATAATTTCTAATTAGACAAAAGGAGTCAGACTACCAGAAGAACAAATTTAAGCTCAGTATATGAATACATTGGATATTACCTTTTTTTAAGTGCTCTTTTACCGGTGTTGCTTCTGGGGCCCCATTTGATGGGGAGTGGGAGTGGGGGGGGCAGGCCCATGGCCTCTTAACTCTTTATGGATCAGATGTCACTTTAGTGGTTTTTGAATCCACCATGTTCTGGCACAACGCCACATAATAGCTCCTCATAGAGACCCTCTAATATTGTTTCATTTACTGAGAAAATGAATCTGTATAAACACGAAGTCCGGCGTGGTCTTTGGGTCACTTTCTGGTTTGTTTGTATTAACTATATGTCATTCAATTTGGATGTGATTTTTCCAGACCAAATGATAAGGGGAAAGGTCTAGAACTGTTCAAACTACTCTATCAGCAGATAGTGACAATAGATTTGATATTGTGACTGATAATGCATGTGCCAAACCTACTGCCAATAATATAGGTTAGGACGAAGTTGAACAAAATTGTTCATTCGAATCATCCCAGTTTTGATCAGCTGTGTCTGGAATTCGGTTGTTGTGAAGTTTAATATGTCATACAAAAATCATCATAAAATCCACAGTATTTAAATTAAATGTTTCAAATAAATATAGCTGATGCTTAATTAAATGGAGGAGGCATGCAAATTCTTAGAAATGGATAGCAGTGTTCTGAATAAATAAAAAGTAAGGTAAGCAAAACATTTTATGTGAAAATAATCTTCATATGTGTCTCTTTTTCTTCTTCGCATTCACCGGCTATAAACTCAGGCGGAAAGTTCTAGTTGTTCGTCCACCTCTGGACTGCAGTCCTGTTCCAGAACCTGAGTGTTTGAATTTGCATCTGTTTAACAGATCTGACTAATATGTATGCAGACTGTTGGTTCCTTGCCTCTCAGGCAGATGCACTCCAACCTCAAAGGAAGCTACCAATTAGCCGACTCTTATGACAGGCTTTTAGGTAGGCAGTGAATCTGTTCTTGTTTTCCCTATAATAGGGCCCTGGAACCCACACGGGGAATATGTGTCTAACATCCTTGAATGATGTGGGATTTTAATAATTTGTTGTCGAAGTGGTGATACTCAAATAGTTTAGATTTATGCTGCATTCATTTCTCTTTAATTTGATTTTATTACTAGTACCTATACAGCCAATACTTTTTCTTCAAGAAGATTTTAGCTTTGTCATGTTGCATTCCAAACCTCATAAAAAATGTCATCCTGAAAGAGTTAACAAATATGTCTAAAACAAAGCAAAAAAGGTGACTAAATAACTGTTTGCTGAATTTGGAACTGTGTTTGACTGAAAGGTGTTGATTTTACAGCCTTGCTGTAAACCACAATACAATGTGCCCACTGCCATTTTTTAAAGTAAATGGAGAAAAAAAAATACGTACACAAAGGAGGAATCAAAATGTCAAACTCACTTTATGCGATGCTGCTCCTTGAATGAATGAATTGCTTCTTCAATCTCCTCCATCATGCTTTTTAACTTTTCAACAACTGAAATATATACAAAAATGTCCATTATCCTGGAGATGTTTGCAAATGATGACCTCTCCTTCTTTTTAATGTTCACCAGTTGTAAACTCCAGTGGAAAGTTCTAGTAGTTCGTCCACTTCTAGACTCTGATCTTGTTATAGAACTTGAGTTTTGTGTGCATATCCATTTTACAGATCTGTATGCCGACTGTTGGATCCTCACCTCTCAAGCAGATGAACTCCCGACTTCAAAGGAATCATCCCTAAATTAGTCACCTTTTACCACATGCTTTTTTTAGGGGGTTGGGGGGGGGGGGTCACTGGGTCTATTCTTTTTCCTCCAAATTAGGGCCCCAGAACCCACACAGGGACAAATTATGATGGGGGTCGTGATAACAATGGTTATGGTAACAGTGATAATGCAGACTACAAAAGCAATAAAACAAACCCAGTTACTCACACTCTGGAGTCGGTTTGACATCCCTAAGTTCTCTCTGAAATCGCTTGATCAGATAACTCATTTTCTCCAACTGCTGTTTGATCTTCATTTCTGAAAGATTAAAAAAAATTCAGTCTTTTATTTTGAGTCTCCAAGGTATGCTGGCCTGAAAGACAGTCTATGAGTCTTATTTCTAGTTTTGAAAATGTTAAAGAAAAATAAAATAACTGTAGACCAATTTGCTGTAGTAAACAAAGGACCTCCTCCCAATTTAGTGATGAAAAGAAGACACTGTTAGCACATATTTATCTTCTTCTTCTTTGCGTTCACCAGCTGTAAACTCTGGTGGAAAGTTCTGGTTGCTCGTCCACTACTGAACTGCAGTCCTGCTCCAGAACCTGAGTGTTGCGTGTGCATCAGTTTTACAGATCTCATTCTCTTGAATACAGATTGCTGGTTCCTTGCCTCTCCGGCAGATGCACTCCGACTTCAAAGGAGGCTCCCCAATTAGTCGACTCTTACGACATGCTTTTGGGGAGGCAGTGGGTCTATTCTTGTTTTCCCCACAATGGGGCCCCGGAACCCACACGGGGAGCACATATTTATGAAACCTATACTGCTGTTTCAATTACTTGTTTTAAACAGACAGTCCTGGGCAGACAAAATGAGTCATCCAATTATCTGAAAACTGTAAAGATCTAAAGGCAACATTTCACAAACATCAGAAAGAGAAAGTCCTAATTTTCTTGGTCATGTTTTTAGAAGAAAGAAACTGGAACAGCTCATGATGACTGGAAAGATTTGAAGAAAGACATTTAACAGAAGGACAACATGAGAAAATTCGTGGCAGCTTCTTGCTGTAGCATGGAAGGGTGTCAGCACATGATCTGGTACATGATATTGGAGACTGCAGATTATGGAGAGGCATGGTCGCCCATGCCAGTCTGCAATGCACTTGATCATGATAATGAGATATAAATTATGTCAAAGGTGCGGGTTCAGGTGGAAGATATAACTGTATAATTAAGACATCTTTCAAAAGGAATCTAGCAGTTGGTCATACATCCAAGTACACATGTTCTTTCAGAAAGTCGTGTTATCATTTTAAGATGGAAGTAATAATTGTAATAATAATAATGGAAAACCATTATTCAGCCAAAAAGAAATAAAAAAAAGATGGGGGGAATATTTTAAAGAACTTTTGAACCCGTCGGGAGTACATGAAACAGCAGAATTCCATTCAAGGGCTCCAGATCATCTAGAACCACATATCCTGCGGGATGAAGTAGAGAAAGTTATCAAAACAAGTAAAAGACACAAAGCAGCTGGTATCGACGGAATAACAACAGAAGTCATCCAGGCTGGAGGGGACACTATGATCACCTGGCTGGAGAGAATTTTCAATAGAGCATGGGCAGAGAGAAAGGTACCAGTGGATTGGCAAAGATCAGTTGTAGTACCTATCTGGAAGAAAAAAGGAAACAAGAGAGAATGTGGAACTTACAGAGGAATATCTTTACTAAGTCATGTGGGGAAAATGTATGCAAAGATCTTAGAAGGTAGGATAAGAGCAAAGGTTGAACCTCTACTGAGTAAAGCACAATTCGGTTTCAGGAAAGGGCGAGGTTGCACTGATGCCATATTTGCACTAAGACAAGTCTGTGAAAAGACACTCGAATACGATAAAGAGCTGAACGTGGTCTTTGTAGATCAAGAGAAGGCATTCGACCGTGTAGACAGAGATGTGCTGTGGAGAATTCTTGACGATTACGGAGTACAGGGTCAATTATTAGACAACATCAGAGCCCTCTATGAAAAAAGTGAAAGTGCAGTAAGAACATCTAGTGGTCTTTCTGAATGGTTCAAAGTCACAACTGGTGTCAGACAAGGATGTGTACTGTCACCATTACTTTTCATAACATACATGGATAAGATCACTGTAGAAGCAAACCCAGACGTGTATGCTATAAACGAATTACTTTTTGCTGATGATCAAAGCATACTGTATCAAAATGAATATGATCTACAGGAACATCTGACTACTCTCAACAACAGCTGTTTACAACATAATATGAGAATCAGTACAGAAAAAAACAGAAGTTATGAAGATCAGCAGAACACACAGGCCACTGATATAAAATGTTGGAAGTGCCAAAATCAAGCAAACCAAAGAGTTCAAATACTTGGGCAGTATATTTACAGAGGATGGAAGAATGGACAGAGAGATAGAAACAAGAATACAGAAAGCAAATGCTGTCACATACCAACTATCACCTCTGCTTAAACATCCAGATATAACCATGAAGACCAAAAGACAAATTGATAAACACCATCTTCATTCCAACACTCTGCTACCAGTGCCAGACATGGACAATCAACAAGACCCATGAAAGAAAAATAGAAGCCTGTGAAATGAAATGTCTAAGAAAGGCAGCGAATAAGACCAGACTAGACAGGATAAAGAATATAGACATTAGAAACACTGTCAAAACTACACCATGTTTAGACTACATAGAACATCAAAGAATGAAATGGTTTGGACATCTAACCAGGATGAAAAATGATCAAATAACATCACAAATTTTCAACCAAAGAAGCTCAGGATATAAGGCAAGAGGAAGACCAAGGAAACTGTGGATTGACGGGGTCTCCGAAACCTGCCAAAAGCATGGCCTCAGAACATCAGATGCTGCCCGCCTTGCTTATGACAGGAACTTGCATCTCCCCACAATGCTTAGCGGCATACGTGGAAGGAAAAAGAAAATAAAGAAGAAGTAATAATTGTAGCGTGCTCATAATAACTATTAATTTATGTAGTCTAGTCCATCCTTTAGCTCTATTGTCTACTTCTATGAATTTCAATCAATGCCTTTGAATTTATTTGTCCTGCCATTAAAACTGACCCCTCAAGTGGTAGAAAATTTAACAAAACAAAGCTGCAACTTGCTCGAACCAAAATCCAACTTTTTAACATAACATAGAAATACCAGCCATCTTGACTTCCCAGTATGATCTGGGAGCCCAGGAAAATCTACCATCACGTGGTTGGGTTCTCTGGGACTGCATAAACAGTGCAACAGAACAGACATCCACATATCCAGAGAGAAGGATTCAGCTAGAAGTGAGCACAAATTCTGAATATTTTTCTTTTGCTAGAACAAAACAGATATTCTTATAATCAAGCTGCAGCTGGCACCATCAATACAGGAACTTTTTGTTGGCTTCTGAGGAAGGGGACGGAGCATGTATGAGAATGTCCTGAGTGCAGTGATGTCAATTTTTTATCCATTCATTCATTTATTTATCTATCATCAAGGCAGTCCAGATTCAATCATTTTAAGAAGAATTATTTTTTGCAAACTGCATGTTATATTATGTTATCATAATCGACGTCACTGCACATTGGGCATTCCCATACGTGCTCAGTCCTCCGATGCAGCAGCCACTGCAAAGTACTTCTACTTATTGTTTCCATTAGAATCTGGTTATACTGTCTCCTAACTCGGCCTCAGAGACAGCATAGGCGTGCTTCACTATGCTTTACTCCCATGTCACGCAACTGTGTTAATGTCAGGGATTCCTCATTATCCACTAGCCCAGTCTGTACAGCATTGACGATATCTGCTCTGTCCATGCTTCATCCCATATGCCTTAGTGCAATGCTTGCCAGTTGGTCCGCTCGCTCATTTCCCTTTACACCTGCATGACCAGGTGTGTAGATCCAAGTGAGGGAACTGCCTACGGTTGTGATGTTGTTTATGGAATAGAATGAAAAGAAAGAAGGTAGCTGGTCCCATCACCTCATGCCATTATCTAATAATATTAAGTTCTATGTCTTCATACTCCAATTGCAGCATCTGCTAACAACTGAACCCTTGACATTAAATATCAAAAGCTTCAAACTGCCAGCATTTTGTTACCTGGCCTAGGTATTGACTTGATATTAGATTAGTGACTTACTTCCTGCATTTCTCTCCTCCGTCAGTTTGATCTCTTCTTCTTCCATAGGACCAAACTGTTCACGAAAATCTGATATTTTGCTAAAAATATGAGTTAGCTTTTCTTTCTCCAACTTCTGAATCCTTGAAAAGAATAAATCAACATTTGTTTTAAGTTTACATTTTTATGACAAAATTTGACTTGTAGTCACTGTATCCCTGTATCATCTATGTAATTTACATTTTGCAGACGACATTGATCCCATGGCTGGTTACGAAACAGAACTCTAAGAGCTTACTACAAAATTAGAGACAGTCTGTAGTAAATATGATATGGAAATTAATGTGAGAAAAGGAACATTCTGGTGAATAGGCACAATAATCAAGTACCTACTAACATACAGGTAAAAGGGGAAACAACTAGAAGAAATTGAAACCTTTTAATATCTTGGCTCCCACATATGCAACGATGGCAGCTGTACCAAAGATATAAACTTGATAGGGCAACACTGCGATGTCCCAACTGAATAGGATGTGGAAGAGCAAAATCAGCTCTGCAGTTAACGTCAATATTTACAAATCACTGGTATTGTCTATTTTCTTATACGGATGTGAGAGGTGGACTCTCAAAATGGAAATGGAAAGAAGGATTCAGGCTTTCCAGTGAAAATGCTATAGACGCATTTTACAAATTAGTTATCTAGAACACAAAACTAATAAATATATCAGAGACAATAAAATATAAATTGGCAGGACATCAGCAGTTTCTCTTGCCAGTGATGGAACATTGCAAGTTATCTTGGTTTGTGCACGTGGTGAGGCATGCAAAGACTGTGCTTCAAGGAACACTGGGGGGTAGTCCAAGAAGAGGACGCCAAAGAAGAACCTTGACAGAGAAAGCTGGCGTCAAGGGTCAAGGATTATGTTATTTTTTGTCCCTGAAAAACTAACAAACAAACAAAACAAAAATACATTTCAACATAAGCTATATGTTGTTTTGTGCACTTCTGTGGCTTAGAGGCTGATTAAATATTTCACAGTCCAATTATCGATGTTAATGAGGATTTGATTCCCAAGTAATTAAGTACAATGACAACAGAAGATGGACGACATATTAAAGAATGCTGATGTAGTACAGCTCAAGAAAAAGCAACATTTCATGGAATGAGAATA